GACTGAAGAGAATAACGCTTCCCTAAAAGACTGCCATCAAGAAAGCCCCATAGAGTACTTTTACATATGGGGTTGTCATCAGGTTTGGGATGGGTTTTAAGTAGTTAAAAGTATTGAATATTGTATGCCAAATTATATTTTACATTATTTTCTGATTTTTTAATTTAAAGTGTACCACTTTCTTCATGTAGAAAACATTGTGGGGATCGTTCCAAATAAGAACAAAAATGACTCCAAGGAATGCATGTTTGCAATATAATTAAAGCTTCCAATAATTTATTTTCAAAAGCAGTATTTACAATTATATACTCGACAAAAGCATTGTTTTTGATTCCACTATTTTCATGTCTCAAAAATTTTGGTATATTCAAAGCTACCTGAAACACTTTATTCCTAAAAGTTTTAAGTTATGAACACAAAAATACCATTAGCTTAGTTAGATGAGTAAGAAAATTAGCTGAAAATAGTACTTTATGAACTGGTGGTATGAACAGGAGGTAAAATTACCTTTCGATGACAACTATTTTCTCCTTAGAGTGAGACAGATACACGTAGATTTTCATTCCTGAAGTATAGGTCCTGAATCTTTGCATTCTAGCTTTTCTGTTTATTAAACCACTTAAGACGTACGATTGAGACACAATGTCTCGAGTTTACCAACTTAAAGTACAGTTTAATGTCTTTTGGCACAAGGAGGCTTCAAAAGCTGTGGAGTTTCCATGATCTTATCATTCCAGCTTTCCATGAATCTTCTGAAGCCCCCTCTAATTCAGGATGGTCCCAGCCATTAAAGCTCTATAGAGCGCGGTTCTACTCTGAAACATCTGGAGTGGCTATAAGTCAAAATTGATTGGGGAGAAACTCTTTTAGGTTTGGGATTTTTTTATCGGGTCACATGTTAACACATTGAACCTTTTGAATAACTATCAGATTGCTTTCAAAATGGCTTTACCAGTTTACACTTCCACCAACCATGCAGAACTCCAATATCTCCACATCCAGGCCCAAACTTGAATTAGCCTTGTACTGATCTCTTTCCCTGGTTATAAGTGGCATTTCTATTATGACTAATGATTGGCCATTTGTGTATTGTCCTTGGAAAAATGTCAGTCAGATCTTTTGCCCATTTTAAAATTTGGTTGTCTTTTTACATATAGTTAAGTAAAAAAATTTCTTTATATATTCTAGATACACATCTATGATCAGATATGTGATTTGTAGTATTTACAAAAATTTCTCATATTCTTCTCAGTGGTCTTTATTTTGTTGGTGATGTCCGTAGAAGCCCAAGTTCAAAATTTGGAAGATTTCCAGTTTGCCTAATTTTTCTTTGGATTGCTTGTGCTTTAGGTGTCCTATCTAAGAATTCATTGCTTAAACCAAAGTCCCAACATGTACTCCTATGTTTTCTCTAATTTTATATTTTGGACCAATTTAGATTTAATTGTATATATGCTTTAAACTCAACCCATTTCCTACTCACAATGGCCCTACATAGGATTTCTGAGTCTGTAAATCCTACAGGAGCAGATAGCTTCAGCTTTCTCCCTTTGAGGTTGGTTTGCAATGCTGACATGATGGTTAGCAGCCCCACACTTACCCATCAGGCCACAGGGCTCGTAATATGGTGTGAAGGAAGGGTCGGACTTCATTCTTTTGCTTGTGGCTATCCATTGGTCC